TACTGGGGGTTGATCTGCCGGGCCATGAAAGGTACCCTGAGTTAATTCGGAAGACCGGCTTGCGACCTGACATAGTTCTCCACTCTGCGGAGAAACGGCAGCTCATCCTGATTGAGCTGACCGTCCCGTATGAGTCGCGAATGGATGAAAATCACATGTATAAGCTGGAGAAATACCGTGATTTAGCAGCCGGTCTGAGAAGAGACGAGGCGTACACAGTACGGGTCTTTGCCGTCGAAGTGGGAGCGAAAGGCCTCGTTTCCACTTCGCTCTACAATGTGGTTAAAGAACTAGGATTGCGCGGTAATGAACACAAACGGACACTCAAACAGTTGGGCGAGGTTGCTGAGAGGGTCTCGAGCTGGCTCTGGACGTAACGAAAGAACGTAGGGGACGGGCCTCAGCGAGCTGGTAGGGTGTCTAGTGGAAAAGTGTTTCTCGTTCCTTGAAAGTCCATCGTGTCCGAGTTGTCTGCCAGTGTTCATCTGCCACCTGCTAACAAAAGTCCAACATGTGTCCTGTATATCCATAGTAAGCTTGTCGCTCGGTCGTCCAGGTATGCAGACTGCTCTAATTATGCTACCGCGACGACTTCTTATCTCACAGTACCTTCTGCAAAATCCCCAATTCGTCTTGTTCCTATCCGAACACCATCCGGTAATTTCGTACAGCAGGGAAACCAACCCTAAGCTTCATGAACTCAAGTGGGCCCACTCTCTGAAAACGTCTAGGAGCTCGTGGGCCGAAACATTTGTCGACGAGAGATTACTTCTACTGACGATTTGTAGATCCCTGCTGTACATGCTCCCCTGTGGAGTTTCTTCTTCTTATTTTATATCTGCATGTTGAGGCAAAGGTTTTTGCAAAAAAAAAATTAGAATTTTTCTTGGTAGTTTTTTATTATATAAATGTATAGTTCTGCAGATAGTTCGGAAGCCTTGAAGCTTTTCAAGTTAAGTAATGGACCTAGACTGTCTGGTAACTAGTATAACTAGTCATCTCTTTGTGAGGCGATTTTTCGTTATTTCGAAGCCCCACCTTGGCTCTTTCCAGGAGCCGCAATATAGCCCGGCTATAAATATAATTTAATTGCTAACACGGTTTCCGGGAACTCTCCACGAGTGATCCTCATCCACGTGCTGGCACTTTGTGTCATCGGGTGTTTATCGCTTGTGTTATGTCCTAGTGGGATAATATGTACTACTACTACTAATCTGAACTGTCTAAGGTGGTGCTTCTAATTGATTCGTGTGCTGTTTTTGAGATCATATTTTAAATTTCATATATATTTTACATTTTCGTTAACCTGCTTTAGCCAATGAGATTGGAGCGTAGTAAAAAAAAGGCCTACTAGTTCTAGTCAGGACTAGCTTTCATGTTTTAGTCATGGCTCCCCAGTATGTTCTATCCAGTTTTTGTTTTCATAAGAACGTGTCTTTGTATGCCTTTTGATTCCATTAGGATTTTTGTTCTCTTAGTTTGGCTTCTTGGTAAGCCTGTGTCTAATTTAATTTGGATGACCGAAAATAAACTGTGCCAATATGTTTTGCTGAAATTGTAACTGATATGACTGAGAAAATATAATGTTACAATGAGCTTTTTTTAAATGTTTAACTGATATGAGGAAGCTTCCGTATGACTGTAGTCTGTATTAGTGTCTCTGTTATCACAGAATGTTGGACGAGACCTTTCATTGCACATTGTGCCAACTATTTTGGACAGATTAGTAAATAGGGGAGGAAGCTATCCTTACTTGTGCTAGGGTGAGGAGAGGCGATCTGAAAACACTAATGACAGGACTGACCAGGCTCATTTCCTTGGTTGGCTGCTGGTCTATAAGGAAAGCCCCGACAGGCAGACAGACAGGCAAACAGAAAGACAGAACATTGCTCTTTTGATTTATGTTTACCAAAGTATATAATAACAAATATAAAATGTACATTATAACATTACGTTCGGGTTAGTGACAATGGCGTATACAAGCCTAAGCGTATTACAATGGAAACGAAGAGTGATATAACTAAACCAACCAAACAACCAACCATTGAGCCACTTTCCAGAAAATAAACAAGAGAAAACGCACGCATGCGCGCGTGCACACACACACACACACACACACACACACACACACACTAGAAAAACCTACATAGCTGGGCAACATTAGTATAGAATATGATTCTCCTTCGAACGAATAGTCCTCTTCATCCTCTACCATCTACCTAGGCCAGCAAATACCATCAGCCCTTCACAATAAATGTTGCAGCTGATAATGATTTATGCTGACGATAATGAGGAAAACTATTAGCACCTGAACTGCTATGGGATAAAGCATGCCAACCACATATTAACCTTGATAATGCAAAAGTCAAAAAAAGTCATAAACTTGTAATGTCTAGGCTCAGTTGTGAACAATAACAGCGACTGCACACAAAAGAAGACAGAAGAAACTAGCTTTTAGCGATGCAGAGATTAGGTCGGCAGTTGTACCCCACCAGGACATCACACAAGTGATAAACACCAGGTGAGACAAAGTGCCACCATGTGGATGAGTATCACCCGTAGAGAGGTCCCAGAAACCACTTTCAGCCGTTAGGCCATATCTATGGCTAGGCCATATTTATGGCCCAGCTATATTCAGGGCCCCCGAAAAAAGCCAGGGTGGGGCTACAAAATAACAAAAAATTGTATCCTACATGAGGACAACTTTGTGTATGCAGATATTAAACAGCTGCAAAAATCTATGAATCTATGGTATAGCACCTGCAAACTAGTTATAGTAGATATTGAGAGATCCAGCATCTTTCCTCTGGTAGCTTATGCGCTTGAGTTTTAAACTCTTATGGAACTGTTGAACTGAAATGTTGCAGAGAAATGCTTGGGGGAAGGGGGGTGAGGGAGGTGAATCGGCATCACTCATGATCTGGATATTGTACAGAACAGCACACTGTCCCGAAAGCTGAAGTATTCTGACCATGTTAAACAGCAAAAAAATCCGACGTATGCGGGTAAAATTTCTGGAAAACGACACAGAGGCCTACCTCCGAGAACATGGGTACAAGACATTATACAGGTATTGGCTCTGAAAGCACACAGGGCTAGACATAGACATTTTCATGCGTGTCATGATAAATCAACTGTCTGTTGGGGGAAAAAATGCAGAAAATAAAAATCCTGCTATTTGATGATGATAGAATGAAGAAGTCTTTGGCTGAAACACTGGTTATCCCCCTTTTTTAGAGGGTTTTTGTTGTTGTTGTTGTTGCTTGTGCTGGCCGAACGGTTAAAATGCTTGGCTCTCAAAGGGGGGAGACTCAGGCTGGTATTTTTTTTTAAGGGGCAAATCAAAACCCTCACCTACACAGTCGTGGCGCAGCACTTGTCATTAGGCCTTAAATCCTCAGGCTCCAAGAACCTACCCCCCCCCCCCCCCCGCTTCCCCCCTCACCCCCCACCCCACTTGTTTACACGGCAAAAGTGGAACAATAAAGGCAATAATTGGCAGTTAGTAGCCAGTTATTGCTTGTTTATGGTTTGCTGGATCAATAAATGTCTATTTACTTCTAATCCAGATTGAAGACAACGTAATTCATTTATGTATCAGACAAAAACATTATTGTTACCAATGAATGTGCCAACTCATAATAATACTAATAATGCTAGTAGCATAGGATTTCTGTTTCTTCAGCCAGTTTTATGTATCGTCTGCCAAATATTTTATGTATGGATGTGCCGAAACTGTGAAACCAGTTTTCAATGTCTGACTGGATAAGATGCGATTTCATTTGTAAACAGATGCCATGCAATGTCGGCAAACAACATTCATGTGTGGAAATATGATCCTTACCGATACTCTCTGTTGTCTGAAAAATGCTGATTTATGAATACTGGGTGTCAGGGTTGTGGCTGTGTGGTCGTTGGGTTACATTAAAATAAGTACGAGGGAACTTCGAATGGAAACATTACAAGTGTTATAGGGAAAAGCAGAAACTACGCCATTGACCTGTAACCTGTCCATTGATATGGTTGAGAATGTGAATAGTGGTAACATCTGGCATCTTACTGCTGACGAAGACTGCGACGTCATAATGACAGTTTGAAGATTGCCACTTGCGCGTGTAAATTCACCTTATTGACCCATTGGACATACGGAAGTGGGGGGGGGGGGCACTCTTGCTTGGCACCTCACCTATTTCAGATGATACATTCTAGTAAGCTTATGAATCTTGGGAATTACACCCCATGGCGATGGCGAGTGTGACTAGCAGGATCCATCCGAGTTAAAAATGTCTTCCATACATGCGTGGGTTTTGCACAGAGCATGGGTTTCAGGACCATTGTTACTATACCATGTAGCTAAGATGCTTCTCCTCAGTTGCTCATCAATAAACTTTTCTGCAGTAATTTTCTCCTTTATCCCTTTTCCTATTCCTGTTTCCTCCCCATGCTGCACCCTCTTTGGCATCCTGTTCCCACAAACCCACCTCATTATCTGTACCATCCATGTCCCTCTTGCAGGCATCTGCATCTTTTAGTGGAGACAGACTTCGACATATTTTTCTTCTACCCATTACTGCCAAAATGAAGCATAGGCTCTCAAACATCTCCCGCCACGTCGACACATCTTTTGCTGACGCACATAGCCCACCCCATGTCCATCCCTGTGTTTGTAACATCACCCACCAATGCCCTTCTCCCTTTTGTTTGCAGCGCCTCTTTGATATATTCTGCCCACCTGAAGCTGCATTAAACATGTCCTTATGGTGGTGGTGCCTTGTTAAAAAAATCATCACGTTCAACCAGCAATCACGAAATGGAAGCATCAGGTTATAATTGTGACTAGGTTATGTGCGCCAGATAAAATTGATTAGCAGATAACATGTCTTTATGGTTAGCTCATATTTTTCTAGACTAACCGGCATATGTCAGTTGGTGGGGTTAGCATCACGCCAACGATCTTTACTTCCCAGGACATGTTCCCACGACAGGTTCCCAGGAAATGTTCACAGGACATGTTTCCAGGACATGTTTCCAGGACATGTTCCCAGGACATGTTTCCAGGACATGTTCCCACGACAGGTTCCCAGGACATGATCCCAGGACATGTTTCCAGGACAGGTTCCCAGGACATGTTCCCAGGACATGTTTCCAGGACATGTTCCCAGGACATGTTCCCATGACATGATCCCAGGACATGTTTCCAGGACATGTTCCCAGGACATGTTCCCAGGACATGATCCCAGGACATGTTTCCAGGACATGATCCCAGGACATGTTTCCAGGACATGATCCCAGGACATGTTTCCAGGACATGATCCCAGGACATGTTCCCAGGACATGTTCCCAGGACATGTTCCCAGGACATGTTCACAGGACATGATCCCAGGACATGATCACAGGACATGTTCCCAGGACATGTTTCCAGGACATGTTTTCATGACATGTTTTCAGTACATGTTCTTAGGACATGTTCCCAGGACATATTCCCAGGACATGTTCCCAGGACATATTCCCAGGACATGTTACCAGGACATGTTTCCAGGACATGTTCCCAGGACATGTTTTCAGGACATGTTTTCAGGACATGTTTTCAGTACATGTTCCTAGGACATGTTCAAAGGACATATTCCCAGGATATGTTTTCAGGACATGTTCCCAGGACATGATCCCAGGACATGTTTCCAGGACATGTTCCCAGGACATGTTCTCAGGACGTGTTCCCAGGACCTGTTCCCAGGACCTGTTCCCAGGACATGTTCCCAGGACCTGTTACCAGGACATGTTCCCAGGACATGTTCCGAGGACATATTCCCAGGACATGTTCCCAGGACCTGTTCCCAGGAAATGTTTCCAGGACATGTTCCCAGGACATATTCCCAGGACATGTTCCCAGGACATGATCCCAGGACATGTTTCCAGGACATGTTCCCAGGACATGATCCCAGGACATGTTTCCAGGACATGTTCCCAGGACATGTTCCCAGGACCCGCCAACCGTCGAGTGACATAAGAGCTTTAGGTCATGTATTCTCTCTCTCCCCCCCCCCCCCCCCCCAACCTCCGCCTCTCCCGCGTTGCTGATTGCGTATTATCAGTGTGCCTGCATACATCGACCGGCATGACGTTGACCATCCCCCACTGAGAGCCGATTGTTCTGTTCTACAAAATATAATTCTAGCCCTGTATGTCCAACACACATAAAGGCGCGGAAAAGAGGGACCTTTACTGTGTTTTTTACATACTTAAAACACAAGCACACATACATACACATACATTTACATACACTCGTAGACAGTATACATAGACACGCAAGAACACACTAATTTACACGAACACATTCATACACATACCTACACGTACACCTCCATATAATAAACATTCATGTAGGCTCACACTTATACATATACACTCATATATATACGCACACCTCGTACAGACATCTACATACCCACACACACACTTATACTTCAATAAACACATATATACACACACTCATGCATACATCACTCATACTTACACACGTACACTTAAACATACATATGTACACACACACACACACACACACACACACACACAAATACAATGTAAAAATATCGCACGTATACCTTATATTCGTCTGCAGCTGAAACGTTGCCTGCGCGCTTCCTAATGCCGGGGCGCCGGGTTCCATTTCAGCTGCAAAGGATTTGGTAAAAGACCGTCTTGCGTTGGTTTCGACTGTGGTATTGAGCGTCAGAAAGCAATGGCAAACTATTGAACGTAAAAATTATGTCTAGAAAAACCACAACAGCAATTAAGAAAAACATCGACCCAAAAAAAAAAAAAAAAAAAAAAACTAACTTATGCTTTGTATTATTTATTTATAATAATGCATTATGATATTATTAACTTATTTATGGCGTCATGTAATCACTAGTAAGCATAAAAAAGATACAATTTGCAGTTAAATGTGTAGAAACCCATTGGATTGTTCACATCAAGTGGGATAGATATAGTTCCAGAAAAGAGCAGAAGAGTAAGCTAATTTTTTTTTTAATCTATTCTAAGTTTAGGCACATGTAATAAGTCTTTTGTTGTTCGTAGCATGGAGGGAATTAACTGGAAGAGGTAAGTGAGAATATTTTGAGATAGGATTTTCTCCACTATTTGGCTTTGTTAAAGATTAAAAGTCTACTAAATGCCAAAAGTTTTCGACGGCCATATAGATTGTTAGTGTAAGCAGTGGATGTTTTTGTTCTGTCAGATTCTGGGCGTTATGCTCGTTTATGAACAGAACTTAGTCTCTTAACATTAGATTTGGAACATTCATTTCAAACTGTGGAACAATAGTCAGTATATGTTTAGTGTAGGATGCGTAAAACATTGTTATTCATCCAGATACTGCTGAATTTTGGCAAGCTGACAAACTTGTTTGTGTTATCTTCGTGGTTACCACATGAACATAAAAATTCCAAGTTAAAAGACTGTCAATTATAAGTCCTTATGTCATGTGTTCAGTTCCATTTGCAATTTGTAATTTTTCAATGCTGAGCTCAAGTGGTGGTCGGTGCAAGGCTATGTTTGTAACTTTTGTCTGTCTGTTTTAAACATAGATTTAGTTTAATTTATGTTAATTTCCATATAATATGATAGCCATTGTTCCATTTAATTAGATCTAGTTTTTGTGTGTGAAGAGCTTACCAAATCATTATAATTCTCATGACTAGCATATACTGTTTCTTCTTCTTTTGTCAAAATCTGCCTGTGCCGCTAGGCGTCGCAGCCTATCAGATGATCGGCAACCGAGCCAGGGCGCGCTCAGTCGCTTCATATAAAGTGATGTTATGAAGTCTCAAGTTGTCCGTGACTCCTTCAATCCATCTTCTTCTTGGTCTTCCC